CTTTTCAATGTTCTCTGAGTTTGGGGAACAAAAATAATGTGAAGGGGCAACATCAAGGCTACAGGGTGAATGAGACAAGGTTTCTCAACAAAATTCTTCTCAGAAAACTCTTGCTACCCTTGAAGAGTGATCATTGTTATGATGGAAAACAGTTCCTTGGTGCAATGACCATTTCTTCATAAATGTAATATTTTGAAAAGTTATTTATCATAAGATCCTGTCATTTCCCTGTGTCCTTAAAGGAAGCATATCTTTTGAGCACTTTGGAACACCCCGCCATAACCTTCTGAACTGACTTCAATTTAACTGGCTCAGCCTATCCTATAGGAAGACCCTGTTTTGACCACACTCTAAAGAAACTAAGCATGTTGCTAATAGAACTTGGCTGCAATCATCCACTTATCACAGAGACACGTTTAAATACGTTTCCTTTAGGAAAAAACCCTGCATATATGTATGAACTGGAATATATATATATATATAATCTTACATTAAAGCAAACTCAAAACTCATTGCCATTGAGTTGATGCCAATGGACATCAATCAACCCTATGTAAGGTTTGAGGCTAACAGTTCCCATAGGAGCAGCTGGCCTCACCGTTGTCCCACGGAACAGCTGTTAGATTTGAACTGTTGATCTGTGGATAGCATTCCAACACTGTCTTGACCTTACTGCCAGTGACGACAAGGTTCCTTTTAGAGTAGATATTTGAAAAAACAAAAAAAATATTGTTTAAGAAAAGTGAACAATGTCTTTTTTTTACAATAGAAATTAGTTTTATAACAGCCAATACAAGAAAAAAAGTATCTCTAAAGTATATCAAATCCTAGATTGAGTTCTCTCTCTTTTCACAAATCTGAGTCTATTTTGATGTTGAAAATGGGAAGAGTTTATTTATATTCATTACTGAAACTTCATCAGTCAAATTTTAACTTCTCTAATGAGTTGGTATTTATCAAGATGTCCCCAGGAAATAAGCTGTTTAGGAGGCTGGATCTTTGTCCCTTCTCTATCTGGTGTCACTCTCAGCATTATGGCCTGGACAAAGTAGGAGAGCAGCAGTCCCTTGAAGACTGGGCCAGTTATTACACATGGTGAACAAACAGACCGAGAGCTTGCCCTGTGGGCACTTACAGTGCATTATGTGCATTACAGTCTGGCATTACAGGCCAGACAAGCAAACCAATATGGAATTTTTCAAGGAAAATGAAATGTTATGAAAGAAACAGACAGAATGCTGACAGACTAATTATTTTGAATGAATAGACAGGGAAGCCATTGCTAAGGAAAATATATTAAATAGGAACTTGAAGAAAGTAGAAGATCCATCTGTAGGTGTAGTATTAAATAAAAAATAAAATGACGCTGATGGAGGGTGAGGGGCCAGCCCCACCCGGTACTAGAACTCACTGGTTCAGTAATACTACTTCTGGGTTCAGTAATGCACAATTGTACGGTTGAGATATATAAGCATTATATTAAAGTCATCAAGAACATGAGAGATAATACAATAATACAGTCAGGCATGATACATAGCAACATTGCTCACCTCAGCCTAGCTTGGTGGTCCATGTGGAGAGAGGGAGAAGGGAAGGAGGGAAAGGGAACAAGGGAGAGGGGAGTAACCAGGGAGTGAGCAGCAAGGAGCTCAGGGTCAGAGTCAGAGAGAGAAGTCCTTGAAGTCTTACACCTATATACTTTTTGGGGGCAATCCAGCCCACTAATTACAGGTAAAGACATACGTCACAGGAAGGGGCTGCACTATAGGTTACACAGCAATGAGTGGGTGGTCTAGGGGGTGGTCTCTAGGTCTCCATAGGAACATTATCAGTAGGGTGTAAACCCCTCCTACAAGAGTCTGTCCATTGTCCCCAGAGGCAGGGAGCAGGCCCACCCCTGTGGAGGGATGAGACAGCAGTCTGGCAACTGATTCCCTCAGGGGAGGGAAAGCCTGCCCATTTAACCTCCCCCCACATGTAGGATCATAAATAGGCAGTAGGGAACCAATTCAGATTGGAAGGTAGAGGTTACATCACATAGGAAGCCATTTTTACAGCATATAACTAAATCATTCACAACCGGAAAGACGTTTTTATCATCAGCTTCTCCTGTCATTTGACCTGGGGATGTCTGATATAAATTATATATTTCTATTTTACTATCTGATATATTAGTGGAATGTCATATTACATTATACGTCATAAAGATAAAGTCCTTACACATGACTGGGCCTCCATTTTCATTTTCTTTCTTTTTATAAACTAAGAATTAATTGCAATTAATAGGTTTCATTTGACAATAGCCCCTGCTGACTGTTGAGACTAAAAATAAATAAATTCTCTCTCAACCTTTGTCATGACTTGAAAGCAATACAACATGGCAATTTTTACAGCCCTAATGAAAGTTCATTTATGTAGTGTGACCCCTATCGGTGATTCATTGACAATCAGCCAGCTGTGACCCTCAAACCTTAATGCATTATCATTGCTTCACTCCAGTCATGACTTAGTAAACGTGACAAAAAGGTGACAGGAAATATCCAGGTCTTCATAGTGATCCTTTAATTATTTTATTCTTTAATTATTAGATCGTGGTATAAAAATGAGTAAGGAGGAAGATAAAAATAAAGTAAATCCATCATCAGGTGCTAAGTTAAATGTGTAATATATTTTTTTCCAACAGCCTATCAAACCTTACACCTGTTTCAAATCAAATTGCTAAAATAATATATTCATACAAACACTACACTCTGAAATAGTTTCACTTTTTAAAAATAAATTATAATGGATACATCACTAATTTTAGTAAGAATTCAAAACAAAACAAAAAAAGCACAATTAATTTATTCCAAAAGAGTGTTGCCGGGCAGAACACCTGTTCGCAGCCCGCTTGGAACGGCACACATTGACCTGGCGGTTAGCAGAGGCCGCTCGCTAACCAACTTACCAACTTACTACTCTCGAGTTTAACCAACAGGCAGTTGAAACCCTTCCATAGACTCCAAGTCACTCTTGAATACATCCCATTCCAAGTGTTCCCAATTTAGTTTCCGCTTTTCTTCTCTGCTCTTTTTTCTTTCCCACATACTCCTTCCCCTCCTTTCCTCTCCTTTTCTCTCTCCTTCCTCCCACTTTAAGCTTGCCTTTGATGACTTTTTCTACCATCGCAGTAGGGCATCAGTGTGTCTGTCTGCAGCAGTCTTTCCTTCTGTGTATTCTCACCGCTACCGTTGCAGTGACCTTTCTGCTTTTGATTTTTTTAATTATACTTGAATTACTTTGATGTATTTAAAGAAAAGCCATCACTTCCATAGGGCTATTCCCCACCCCACTCCTAGAACATGTTTGTCAGCGTCCAACCTCCCACCCACACACACATACGCATCACCAGCAACACCAAAGGCGCCACCGCCATACACTGTGCTTTCACGATCTCTATGCTGATGCTTAAGACTTACAAACTGCCACCTACTGACCAGCACAATGGTTCTAAGATGCTTTTGTGAATGCTGTAATCCGGACACATTTTCGGCTCCTGTTTTTCATTATTTTGCTGAGTAGAATGAATGTTGACAAGTCTAAGTTTTCCCTGTTATTTTCTAAATATTAGCAGGTAATATGTTTTTCCTTATAAATGCCAAAATCTCTGGCTTTTATTAGAGTTACTTTTTGTTGTATTGAGATGATGCATTGGCATTTAATTATGTGTCCTTTGTTTTTGCTCTTGTATCTACGCATATGCCTTTTTCCTGTAACCCGGATAGACCTGGGGGGTGACAGACAAAGCATATTTTTCCAAGTGATTTAATTTTAAATGCACAAGATTGCATCAATATTCATTGCCGTGTACCTGAGTATTAAATACATTTTTTATATTTTTCATAAATTAATAATTTTCACTTGATAGTATGTACTTCTGGTTAAAGGGGGATTTTAACTTATGGTTAAAGTGAGAATTATTATATGGGCAAGCTATTGGATAGGACAAATTATCTGAACTATGTCATCTAGTATTCATTTTGTATATTTTTCTCAATTTACTCTTAAAAGATAAAACAAACTCACTGCCATCGAATCAAAGTCAGCTAACTCATAGTGACCCCTGAGGACAGAGTGTTGGCTGTCCCTGTATTTCTGAGGCCGTAACTCTTTGTGAAAATAGAAATTCCTGTGTTTAAAAGCCCCCTAAAAATTGTAGAGGAATGGTTATAGTTTAGATTGTCTGAATTACCTTTTTTTTTTAAACAATCCCAACCTCCTCAAAACTCTAGACAAATGCATCATGTTGTCAGATGAGTTAAACGAAGCGAACACAGACATCTTAGAATCTCATCTGAGAAAACATCTCTATATTTGGCTATTCTGTTGTATCAAAAAACTGAGCAATTCATTGAATCTTACTCTCTTTCTATATCATAAGAAGCTAGTCTTATTTAGATGTCATGGTATCAATCAACATGCCAAAGTGTTCTTTACAGTAAAACTTCCAGTTTATGAAAAGCTAAATGGGGAGAATAACTTTCAAAACTCAGAAGATCTTTTCATATGTTAATTTGGACCCATACTTAAAATCTGCATATGTAACTTTCAGGTAATTATTATAGTGTGTTTCTTTTTCTGGCTGTCCTCACAAACTATGATCAACATTTTTTTAGCTTAAATTGATATATATTTAAATTATCCCCAACACTAGACATGTTAAATGTTTGATAATGTTTGGCTTAAAGTATAATTGATGTTGAATTTCACTTTCTGGAACTGATAGTGATTTTCTTGGATTTAGTAACAGTAATTTCAAATTCTATTCAATATAATAATTGAATGTTCTCAAATGTATTCAATTAGCTATATGGCTTCTTAGAGCACCTTGTACAGTCTTGATGAGTATTTGAAACACATTGGAATTCAAAAGCAAAAGTTACTACTGCACCTGAAAATGTGCCATGCTTAAAGTCAAGAAAACTTTCTGTCCCTCTAAATATTTTGTACCTTTCCTTTAGGTCATCAAACTTGCCTTTGAAGAGTTTGAACTGGAACGAGGATATGACACCCTTACAGTAGGGGATGCTGGGAAAGTGGGTGACACCAGAACTGTCTTATACGTGTAAGTATATAATTCAGCTTGTTCCCAATTCCAAAACCATTCAAAGAAATGGTAATGATTGAAGTATATTGAAACTCTCCTGTAGACTTCAAATTCTAACTCAGATACTTCATAAATGGGTACTTTAATGATTTTCATACTTAATTTCACAAAATTAACTTAAGATTTTGTTTTATCTATAGCAATATTTTAATCATTAAAAATATGTGTTTATGCAAATAAATTAGAACATTCAAAGAAGCAGAAAGGGAAAATTAAAAACTTTTCGACTCATAAGTTTCTTATTAGTCCCCCTCTTTCCACTCTCCTACATCATGACCAGGTTTTGGTTGGAAGTACAGGTGCTTCCTACAATGATGCCATATGTCCCCCTAAACCACTTGCATTTCTGTAAAACTGCATTCAAGAATAACAAAGATGGAGGTTGTTCAGGTGTGGTGGAAATCTACTCTACATCTGTAGAACATTGCATCCAGAGTCCTAGCAAAAAGTTATAACAATCTCAATATAAATATTTGCATAGCGATCACTCTACTGTCACTGACAACTAGCATCAGTCTGCCCAGTCCCTGCGGTTTTACCCTGGACCCTCTGCTTCAGCTACTTCTAGTTGTAAGGCTAGGAAGCGCTCAGTTCTGTTAGTTGGAAGAGACATTTTAAGTTGTGAATCCAAATTTCAAATCCTCTTTTCACTGTTTTCTTAGTGTCTTTCCACATTGGTAAGGTTTTCTCTTTGTTAGAAAGCTTGCCAGTAACTATTTCATAATATTACTTCCCTAGAAAAAAAGAAGGGATAATAATTGAATTATATTGAAATTCTCATGTGTACTTCCAATTCTAACTCTGATAGTTCATAAATGGATAATCTGATTATTCCTCTACTTACCAGTTTTATATGTGGTGTTTCATATTGTGACATTTTATATGGGTTCATACTATATCTACATTGGTAGCATTCTTTCCTCACTCATTTTATCTTGGACAGTTTTTCATATTAGCACTTAAAGCCCCATCTAATCTTTTAAATAACCCATTACTACTACTATAGCTACTAATTTAAATAATGATAATAGCCCACTACCTTTAATAATCATTATAATAGCCTTACTTTCAATACCCCTGGTAAAATTTATTTCCTCATGTGTCATGCAGTAAGCTGGATGTTTAATAAATATCATCTTATTTGGTTTTAACCATAATTCTTTGAGGTGTTAGTTATCCTGGAGTCAACCCAAGCTCAAGGTATAAAAGGATAAAGTTGAGCCCATTCCTGAGCCACCAACATAATCATTGGCATGTTTGACGCCATAAAGGCCTATTGTAGCAATTCATCTATCTGACGGGTTTTCTCTTTTTGTTGGCCCTCTGCGATACTACACTGATGTCATTTTCTAGCAAACAACCTTTCCTAATATTGCCAGAAACAAAAGTGTGTTAAAGTCTCATCTTCAATTTTAAGAGACATTCTGGTTATATTTCTTCCAAGGTACTTTGTTTATTTTCCTAGTAGTTCACGATATTTTCAGTATTGTTCATCAACCTCATAGGTTGAACATACCCCTTCTTCTGTGTTCCATGTTTGCTCTCAGACGTTCATGAACATACAATTGACAGATCTTGCCTTGGGTCAGACTCACCTACTCATCAAAGTGTCAGCTTTGCTTTTGAAAACTTTAACGAGATCGTTTGAAGCAGATTTGTCCAATGAAGTAGGATCTTTGATTTTTTTTTTAGTGTTGTTTCCATGAATGCCAATTATTGATCCACGTTGAATAAAAGTGCCTGGAACAAATTATTTTCTCCATTGATCAGAAATGTGAGGTAGACATAACAAAACATTATCTTAAAATGGATGGAATGATTTGGGTAGGTGAAAGCAGTTACCATCCTTTGCAATGAGTTCACTGTTGGGCTGTTGACTCTGAGGTTGGCAACTCAAACCCATTAGTTGCTCTGGGAGGGTAAAATTTGTTGGGGGAGGGATGTCCACTCGTATACAGATATGCAGTCTCAGAAACCAAACAGTAGCTCTGTCCACTCGGGTTATTATAAGTTAAAAATGGTATAATGGTAGGGGGTATGGTTGGGCTTAGGGTGTGGTGGTGAGTCTTCTCTAGTGTCTATACTTAATATTATGTATGGATGGGTCATATAGTTTAACTAATTCTCAATAGTTAAATCTTTTTTGTTTTCCTCACCCATTATTTTGCTTTTATAAACTGTTCCTTCCTAGATAACTTTCAATGAATACATATTCTTAGTTATTTGATATTCCTTCAGGAAAAATTTTCCAGGAGTAATTGCAGGAGCAAAGGGTATTTTCATTTACATTGTTATGCATTTTAAATTTTTCTTGAAATAGGTTATGTCGATTTACTTGTCCACCACAATATACTAATATCCCAATTTCCTTACGCTCTCACCAAAATGGTATGTGCCAAATGACCTGGCAAAAATGAAATTTCTCTACTTTGTTTTGTATTACTCCACGGAACTTCATAAAAACACAGCTTCCCCTAGTGTGGGGTCAAGAAATCTACATGATTTACATGCTTCTCAGATGAGTTTTATGCACAACTGGACAGCTTATTTTTGAACACTGGATTCCTTGGGTAGCACTGAGAAATTGAAGATGGACTATCTTGTCAGCACCTTGCTACTTGCTATCCCTGTGACCCTGGTGGAAGTCCCTGGACCTCTCTACCTCTTTTTCCATGGCTATAAGACATCTATAATAAACAGTTGTCATCTGTGGAAGGAGTAAAATGAAATAATACCTATGAAGCAGTAGGAGAGCAATAAATGTGACTCACACATAAAGTAGCTTTATTATTTCCATTACACCTAATTTAAGAAAGGATGTCACTAAAGTAAATGAGAGAGCTTTTAAAATAACTGCAAATTTAAAAATATAAATGTAGCCCAGCAATGCTATGTAAAATCCCTCAGGTCACCATTAAAGATCTGAAGTCATATATCTATTTTTTAATGTTATTTGTTGTTAAGAGAGTGCTAGCAAACTATGTATTACGTTGACATTTGCAATATTAGAAACTCCTCTCAATAGCTCAAATGCGGAGAATGAAAACCTAAATAGCCAACTCAATCAGACGGAGGTGCCTTTTGGGAAACATACTGTAGCAGAGACCACTTGGCCATTTAATCAGAGGCTGAAAACCTCTGACATATTTCCTTGGTATCTGAAATTATATAAAAGGAAATGAATAGTTTCTTTGAATAAACACATAAATTTATACCATAAATCAACATATATGTTTTAGTACTTATATGTCACTGTTCTTAGCACGCCCTTCATAATCTAATTGTAGAAATGACAGCTACACAGGGGCCGTTTAAAAACCAGAGAGTGCATAGAATCTTGGAGTTTCATAACATACACTCCAAATTACATGAGTTCAAAACAAAAAAAAAACTCTTTTTGGGAAACTGGTATTTAATGTTTAAGGCCTAATGTGAGAAAAGGTTAATTTGTGGAGAATCGACGCAGAGAATCAATGCCTTAGAGAGGCTGGAAGTTCAAGTCCAGTCAGAGAGAGCTCAGAAGAAAAACGCGACAATGTTCCTGAGAAACTCAGTTATTGAAGATTCCTTTGCGCGAAAGAGGCCATATGTTGGGCTAGAACCCTCTTTTGTGGGCGTGTTCGACAGCAGCAGTCCAAGGAGGACTCGAACCACCTCTGCCAGGCCTTAGGGAATGTGGAGGAGAGCGCCCTGCTGCAAGGCCTGATGCCCCCAGCAAGGGGTGTGTCTGTGAGAAGTACTCCTCCTACGCCAGCAACACCCTGCATGGCAGCCCGATGGTGCAGGAGCTGCGTCTAGTCTGGCTGTCAAGTTCACTGACACAGACCTGGAGCAAATTCAGCACTTTCAACTCCGCGGCCAGCCTGTTCAGAGCCTATGGCACCCATGTGCAGGCACTGATGAAGCAGCAAGTGGCCCTGATGGCCTCGGCTGCCAAAGTGACTACTTGAACCCTAAGACTGCCTTTGTTGCTGCTCAGATGCAGCAGATGGCTGCCCTCAACATGAAAGGCTTGGTGGCCACCCTCCCCCGCGCCCCCCTCAGGTGGCATCACCCCTCCCAGCATCACTGCACCAACCAAGACTAAAGTCCCTCCCCTCATAGGAAATAACAGCTTCACCCACCACCTCCCACAGGCCAATGGGCAGCATGGGGCGGAAACTGTATTTGCCAACAGCCTCCACCACTCCCCCCGAAAGGGCTCCTCCCTGGCACTGCCCTGACAGAGGGCAGGGGCAGGCGTGGAGCTGTCCATCCTGCTGCCCAGGGTCAGATAAACCAGGCGTTTCCTCAGCCACAGCCAATGATTCCGCAACAGGACGGAGAAGGCCAGCACCCTGTGCCCTCCCACTTCCAGGCTTCTCCTGTCAGGGAGCTCCTTGCCCAATAAGCTCCTCCACCGCAGCTTCAAGAGCTTCCACCTCCATCCAGGCCATGAACTTCAGCTTCCAGACTCCAGGTGCAGCTGAAGCAGCCCAAAGGTGGCAATCTTCGACCCATACTGAGCACTGCTGGAGCGACCAGGTCTCACATTAAACAGGCTGCTGAACAGGCTGCATTAAAAAACAAGACATTTCCTATATTCATTTATACATGAGAACTGTTGGCCGACCCCTTTGACATATTAGCCAATATCAATCAAGCTGAAGACGCCAGACACTGTGACTGTCGCATTTCTTCAAGGAGAGTAGAATGTCTATGGAGTTCAGATGGCACATGTTCGGGGCACAACACATCTGTCTGGAAGATGAAGGTGGTGAAGAAGAATGAGAAAACAAAAACAAGCACAGACAAGAGAAAAGGCAACTTGAAAGCAAAATAACAGGAAACCAAAGGGTGAGGCTGAAGGGCGGGGACTGGGAAGACCCGCTGTTGAATGATTCCAGGACTTTTCTTGCCCCGGGGCTCCTGGAGGCAGGCTGGGACAAGAGGTGTGGCAGGGCCTGGTCCCCAGGGTG